AAAAAGTTTACGCCTTTGGTGATATGATTATGAAAATTTTAATATTATGGCTCTTATATTATTTGCAACTCTAGGACGCCTAATATGGCATAAACCTAAGGCGCATTTCTCATTGGGATTTAGGAAAAATTTCTTGATAAGATGGAGATGATTCCTTTACTTGGGATTAAGTGAGTATCCTATTGAGGTGACAATAACTCTTTATCAAGGTAAATAAGTAGACAATGATTCCATATTATAATCCAAAAAAATTTCTTGATGAGGCATAAAAGATTCATTTTTAAGATCTAGCAAAGTTTCCTATTGAGGTGGATATGATTTTTAATCGGGAATCAAGAAAAATAGTGTAACGTGTAAACAAGTTATCAAACAAGTAAGTTAATAAAATAGGGTGTCTCGTTAAAAACCCTTTCCCTTGTAGGGAAAAAGAGTGTTCCCATACTCTTGTATTTATTGAGTGAGTCTTGAAAACACATACATTGGCGAGATTACTGTCATCCCAATTTGATCAACAAGAAATAAAAAATTGATATAATAATATCTCAGGTTCACCAAGTTCCAAGTTCGTTGAACAAGTCATCCATCTAGTTATTCCAATTTATACGTGCCATGTGATAATTCCGGGCGCACCATGTGTGGACCTTCCCTATTGGGGAGCTAATTTTTTATTATGGTACGCCCCACCATCTGTATGAGCACAAGATTAGCGTCCTTTATATCCATTTGAACTAATTTGAAGTTATACCTCCTAACACCTCTTTGTTTGCCCGTGAATTCATGGATGTGGGCAATCTCCATACCTTCGTCAAGAAGATCAGTTGCACACTTAAGTTTTGTTTTATTCTCTTTACATATGAAAATACAATTAATTTGGCATATAGAGGTTAAATACTTGTTAGCATATAAGGAAATATGAACGCCTATGTGTGTGCTTTACCTTATTCAGCAAAATACTCATGCCACCATGTAGGCATGAGAATCTCAACTAGTAACATGGAATATGCATCATAAACCATCTTAATGGTGTTTCCGTAGTAGGGAATGTGGTGTCATATGATATTGTAACGCCCCGATTTTGATTATTGCATTTTATTGAGTGTTTTGTTTGATTTGAGTAATAATTGTTTTAATTGTGAATTGATGTGTTAATATAGTGTGTTTTGATATTTTACCGTTTCGGAGAGTCTCGGGTAAAATTAGATTGGAGGGTATTTTGCTCATTTAACATTTAATAGTAAGGAAAGTAGTATAATAGAAATAGAAATAGAAATAGAAATAGAAATAGAAGGAAAAAGTTATAACAGGAAATAAGAGAGAAAAATAGAAGAAAGAAAAGAGAAATAGAGGGAAAGAGAAGAGAAAGAAGGAGGAAGAGAAGAAAAAGAGGAAAATTTGGAAAATCATCAAGAACGCTTGCTAGGAATCAGATAATCGAGTAAAGGTGTGAAATTCTATCATCTTATCATTGTGTATGAATCATGTATGTATGTGTTCGGTTTTGTTTGGTTGTTTTCACATCTTTTTCCATTTAGGTCGAATTAGGAAAAATCGATAGAAACCGATGTTTGAACGGTTAGAATCGGGAATAACTTACGTAGTTTAGTCAGGGAATGTTAGACTAAGACTATTGAAACTAGTTTGGTGAAAATCGAGCGATATTGTGAGTTTTACCATTTTTGGATAATTTGAAGTTAAGATTTTGGATGAAAATCGAAAGTCGTAAAATTCGTGTTTTGTGATCCTACTTTGTTCCTATATGATTGGTAATGGTGAATAGACATTTAATCGGGTGAAAACAATTTAATCGGACGAGTTTTTGAGGATTTTTAGCCAAAACCCGTAGCTAACTTTCAAAATTTTGCAGGTGTTAACCGGTTAACGCAGTGTTAATGCGCCTGGGAAGTGAAAATTTGTGCGCGTTAACCGGTTAACGTATATGGTTAACCGGTTAACACTGGGGGTGTGAGCAATCAGATTGTGTGCCCGTGTAGGGTGTGAGCAATCCTGAAACATCGTGTGCCCATGTGGGGTGTGAGCGATGGGTGAACATCGTAGGCCCGACGGAGAGTTACTTCGATAACGAGCGATGGTTCCATTTTGGTTCTTCAATTGAACCTGCTGAATGAGTCGGTACCGCATTTGCATCTGCATAGAGTCGGGATTCAGTCTCTATGAGTTGCATTTATCATCTTTATATGATGAATTGGTGAAATAAACATGAACGTAGATGTTTATGTGAATTGGTGATGAAATGAACAAATTGTGTATGTTTATATAAATTGATTGGAATTATGGATATGTGCATGATAAATATGTTTGGTGACTATCCATTATTTGTTTATTTATACATTGCGGTGTATATGATGAGGGATGATGAATTGTGGTGAGAAATGAGGAATATGCGTATTCTATGTTTGTGTATATATATATATATATATATATATATATATATATATATATATATATATATATATATATATATATATATATATATATATATATATATATATATATATATATATATATATATATATATATATATATATATATATATACATTGATGATTATGATAGTATTTCTCACCCTTCTGTTGTTTTATGATGCTCTATGAGGCATTGCAGATTAGGTATGCTGATGATCCCTTTTTGTGAAGCGTGTCTTCATTGTTTTGGTCAGATGGCTCTGAATGTAACACCGGGTAGCTAGGAAGCCTTTGGCTCTTTTTGATGAATACATTTGTATATGTATTTTTAGTGATGCATGTTTATGTAAACATGAATGTTATTGATGAATTACAGTGGATGATGTGAATATATATATATATATATATATATATATATATATATATATATATATATATATATATATATATATATATATATATATATATATATATATATATATATATATATATATATATATATATATATATATATATATATATATATATATATATATATATATATATATATATATATATATATATATATATATATATATATATATATATATATATATATATATATATATATATATATATATAAATACATGCCGGTTGTGATTCAATGTTTAGATTTTCCGTTTTTATTCTAAATATTGAGATGTGGGTGTAAGGACTAAGTTCCTATGTTTTTAAAGTTACCCCACGGTTGCATATCATATGTCGAGCAGGTGTTGTATGTTTATATTTTTATTTCATGAATAATGTGACATACTTCTTTTATGCCATGATGCAATTATACTCTGATGGAATTTATATTATGTGCCTAAATAATTATTTGTATTATTTGAGGGTATAGAAAGGGGGTGTTACAGATATGACCACAAAACCTTTGCAGAACCAATATTTACTTATGATGGAAAACACCATATGGGGAGGAAGTATTTAATTAAATATCCAATAAAAATAAATAAGAATTAGTATACCTCGTTTAGTTATTATGCCCATAGTCCCTTGATTTTGTCCAACTTTTTCTTTATGCCACAAAGTATCACCTTGTAGGTCAATTTTGCCTGCCCGTTGGATTATGAGTGAACTACCAAGATGAACTTTATCTAGATTTTGAGCTAGTGGCAAAACTCAATTATGGTTGAGTTGGTGAGTTGTGTATTGTTATCAGAGATGATACTTATTAGAAAACCGAAACAACAAATTATACACTTCCATTAGAAACATAGTACTCTTTCCACCGTAATTTTAGACATCACCTCTGCATCAATCCATTATGTAAAGTAGTCTAATCATGCAAGTAATGACTTTAGTTGACCTGGAGCCAAGAGGAAATGACCCAAAATGTCCATGCCCCATTGATGGAATGGTTAGGGAAACATGACAGAGTGTAAGATTTTTGTTAGGTCGTGATGGAGGTTAGAACTTTTGACACTTCTTGCATTTCCTAAAGAATCCCTTAACAGTTTTTGGGCGAGGTCCCTTCCTATAGATTACATCCGTCTGAAATATTATATGATCAAGCTATAGATTGCTTGAGTTATGTGATGTTCATTTCTAAAGCCCAATTAAAGTTATCTCAATTCAATATAAAATTATTGATTCACCTACCCTATCTTATAGATTGCTTAAATATTAGAGATACTTATTGTTGGTTTTTTAACATAACCAATCTATAACTATTCTATAGCCATTTTTCAAAATCGATTTTTATAACTAATTCATATAAATGAGTTTATTTTGACAAAATTGATTATTTTTATAACTAATTCATATAAATGAGTGTATTTTTATAAAATTGGTTATAAAGTAGGTTATATCCATAATGCAAATCTATAACCGATTATGCGTCTATTACCGATTTTAAAGTTTATAATCAATTATAAATTTACAACCAAATTGGTACATAAAAATCCAGTTTTAAAAACTGAATATTAAATTTTTTACAACTAATTTTTCAACTAAACACCGATTTTAAATATAAGAATCTATTTTTTAAAATTAGAGTTTATTCATAAAAATATATTATTTTTATAATTACATAAAAATAGATTGTAAGATAAAAAATTTCTCATTACACCTCACATAATATGTGTATAAATTTGTGCTTAAAATGTTCTTTATTAATTATAACCTCACGGATTCTTGTGCATAACGTTTTTATAGTCACAAATTGTAGCTACATTATTTGCATTGCAAAATTTCATCATTCCAAATAGACCGTGTTAGCGAAGAATTAACCACATTATACATGTTTTTATCAACCAGCACTTAACTATTCCATTCAATATTTCTGAGTTATAAATCTTTCACAAATTATAAACTCAACTTCAAATGGAACCAAGTTTAAAATCCAAAGCAGACGAATAAACAAAAAGTTGCAATTTATTAGCTTTTTCTCTGTTAGAATGTACAACATGTCATGATATTTATCATATCATAATAATAAAAACCAATAGAATCATCACAATTCACAAGTAATCTAGTTTTGTACACAATCCACCAGCCTAAGACTCGGATTAAACAAAAGAACAAAACGACCAATCACTACTCAAAACGACGATCCACTATCTTCATTCATCAAAGAACCAAACGACGAACCACTATTGAAAACGGCATTACTATGACCATTACCAAGCATCACCTTCATCAACTCCGTAGCCTTACTCTTCCCCTTAGCGCTCCCTTTATCTCTAACATCACCAATTCCGTCCAACGCACCAAAAGCTACGGCGTCTCTAACATCTCCGGCCACCGCATCTCCGCCGCATCGCACAAGATTAAGCAGCGCCGACACTGTATTTTCTCTCGTCCTCATACTAGACCCGGTCGCAAGATCGAGTAGATCCGCGAGTACTCCAACCCCAGAAACCTTTCGGAAAGCCTCAATGCTTTCTTCGCAACCGGCAACCTGCGCGATGACGGCGGTTGCGTCTTCAACTATCCCTACTCTACCATCGTTAACGATGAGAGAGAACAGCGCCGGAACAACACCAAACTGAACCATGGTACCACGGTTTAACGGATGAAGCGCGATTGCGAAAAGCGCTTTCAACGCGTCTTTAACCGTTCGCGGCGGTGATGAACGGTGACAACGAAGGATATCAACAAGAGCATAAACGATCTCGCGCTTGGATCCAACGACAGTACGGTAATCATCAACAGACGAAAGAAGGCTGTGAATCGTAGCTGCGGAGGATTGAACAGCGGCGGCGGCGGAGGTTGAAGAATGATGAGAGATAACGTGTGCGAGCGCGTCGAGAACACCGCGCGTGGACATGATAGGTTCTTTTTCTGTTATGGAAAGGTTAAGAAGCGTTGCGGTTGCGTTTTCTTGCGATGGATGAGAAGAAGAATAGAGAGTTTCGGCTAGATATGGAATCGCGCCTGATTCTGCAATTACGGATCGGGTTTCCGGCTCTTGTTTTGACATTTGACGGAGCTCGCAGAGAGCTTCGATTCGGGTTCGTTCGGAAACGGAGCTTAGCTTTGAGACTAGGCTCCGCACGGTGCGGTGTTTAGAGTCCATTTTGGTATGGAGGGAGGTTCGGTGGGTGGTGTTGATTTGGGAATAGGTGCGGTTGTTGGTTTGGAGGGAGATGGAGAAAAAACGCGTAGTAGTTTCTTGGGAAAGATTGTGAGAATGGGTTTATGAAGATTGGAAAGGCAAACACGTCTTAACAAGTTTTTATGTGACCAAAAGTCATGGAAGTTTCGTACTTTTTCTAGTTATTTTCTTTTCAGACAATGGATAAGATCCTTTTCATACTGAATTCTTTTTATAAATGCTGGCTTTCATTAATGAGTAAAAATACATATAATATATTTCAGGAATGCTATGTTTATACACATCCTACACCCATTTTCTACATCGTATACATTGTTCACCGTATTTATACGGTGAACAGTATTTTTTTAAATAAAATAATATATTTTTTAAAAATATTAATTTTTAAAAAAAAAAATATTTATTTTTAAAATTTATTTTATAACACAAATATAAGATTGCGCATTAACCAATTTTACAGTTGCATTAACCACAAAAATCTACATCATTAACCAATTATTTTACCTATAATTTATTAACCACTTTCACTACTTCATTAACCAATAAAATACATACTATTAACCATGTTCTGGGAAATTTGTTCACGTATTTGTGAACAGTAAATTGAGTGTAGGAGTTAGGAAAGAGTGTAAGAATAGCATTTTTCAATATATTTTTATGTATAGAGAAAAACCAGAAACCAAATATTTGTGAATTACTCTAGTTAATACTACAAAATTTAATTATAATTATATGATATATAAAATTTTAATAGAAAAACTAAGATGATATTATTTGTGTCTTTCAAAAAATTAGTGTGTATTTACATAAATCGAATAAGGGTATTTATTAAAAATATAATTATTACACTGATATAAATAATTGATATTTATTATTTTAAATTTGACATATTGAACATTTACAATAATTGACATTATTATTTTCAGATAGATATTTTTAGATGATAAAAAATAATTTTTTTTATTTATTATAACACTTCTTATTTGAAATATTTGTTACAGTCTTTGATTGAAGTTTTATCAAGTGGAATTTTAAGGAAATATATTTTGTTTCATCAAAAATCTTATCAGGAAAAATTTAGTGGGATAAAAAATTTAATAAGGAAAAAGAGTACAACATGATACTCCCCCCTCAATAAAACACATTGAGCTTTTCTTTAAAGATCTCAAAGGCAACACATTCAAATATTTTGTACACGCTTCTTAAAAACTGATGTAGGAAGTGTCTTTGTTAGCAGGTCCATACGGACTAAAGCCCAACCAAAATGGATTATGAGATGCAATAGGTCGTTTTATTATTTTAATTCTGCATATTTTTAGCTTTTGGGCCTAGTCATTTGTAGCCCATTGAGATTATGTTTGTATTTAAACCTTGTTGCCCCTTTTAGAAGGGTAGACAAATAGTAAGATATTTATTATTAAGTCATTTTTATCATCTTCTAATTTGTGTTGTCTTATGGAGAAACCCTAGATCTTGAAATCATTGTTAAAAATCCCTCTTCTATCAATTGGAGCTTTCATTTCCTTGAATTCATGGCCCCTCCACCCAAACCCCTAAACCCTAAAGATATCATAGAAGAGGTTGTACAAACAACCCATATGCATCTTGATAATGTTATGAACCAAACACAACAGCAAATGGATGAGAGGTTTGACAAAACTTCAACAGATTTGGAGCTCATACAAACCCGTATGGACAATGAGAAGCAAATTTCAGACTCTCGGTATGACAATATCATGGGACTGCTTAACAAACTGGTGCTTCAACAGGAAGCACATCCTGCTACCACTGCACAAACAGCAGCGGCCTCCTCATCAGGTATTACTAATATACCTCGTTCAGCTCCTATACCTACCACCCATACTACCCCCATTATTACTCACTCAACCTCCCCTCATCTTTCCCCTAATTTCCACCCCCATACACCCCTCAACTACTCTCGGGGTCTTTCTCTCACAACCCCCATCCCCCTACCCTCACCACGACAGCAGCACACACAACACCATCCCAAATCCCTAGATTTTTCTCTTCACCTTATCTCACTCAGCCTAGCACGCTACCTTTTTCCCAGAACTATAATTTCCCAATGTTCCAACCCATGTCTTTTCCCCCATTTCAACCCACTACACCTCTTCCTCCTTTTTGTACACCTAAACTAGAACTTCCTATGTTTGATAGCTCCAACCCTTTGGAATGGTTATTTCAGGCTGATCAATTTTTTGAATTTTACCACTTACCTCCTGACAACAGATTGTCTATGATGTCATTTTATATGAAAGGTGAAGCAGTCTGTTGGTTCAAATGGATGCATCAAAGTCAGCTTTTAATAGATTGGCCATCTTTCACTAAAGCATTGGAACTGCGGTTTGGCCCATCCACTTATGCTAACCATCAGGCAGAATTATTTAAATTAAAGCAGGTAGGTTCTGTAGCAGAATACCAAGCTATGTTCGAAAAATTAGGCACTCAAATTGTAGGTTTATCCCAAGACGCCATCCTGAATTGTTTCATTTCCGGGTTGGCAACGGAGATAAAAAACGAGATCGCTATTCATAAACCTGTTTCCATTTCACAGGCTATTGGATTAGCTAAGCTGATTGAATCCAAAGTAAAAGACTCAAAACCCAAATATCCCAAAAACCCCTTTTATCCTTATAACAAACCTACTTCAACTTCATCCATCATAAACCCAACTAGCTCAATCTACAAAAACCCACATGTGCCCCAACCATCTAAACTTCCCATCCGACACCTTTCCAACACTCAACTTCAAGAGCACCGCGATCAAGGACTCTATTTTAACTGTGATGAAAAGTTCATACCGGGCCATAAATGTTCAACCGGCAGGTTCTTATTACTAATGAAGGGTGAGGACGATCAGACCCCCCAAGAGACATTAGATACTACCGCTACCTCTGTTCCAATGGTGGAATCTGAAGACACCTATTTCAAACTTCCCCCCCCCCCAAGCCGTCAGCGACCGTTTTTCTCCCAAAACCCTTAAGTTTAAAGGTTTACTTTATGGCATCACCGTTACAGTTCTGATTGACATGGAAAGCACCCACAATATCCTACAACCCCGCATCGCCCAACACTTGAAATTCCCAGCTACACTTATTCCGAATTTTCTGTGATGGTTGGCAATGGTTTTAAACTCTCCTGCTCGGGCCTCTGTTCCGAAGTCCCTATCACCCTCCAAGACCACCTTTTTGTCATCCCTTTCCACTTGATCCCTATTGAAGGCGCTGACGTTGTCCTTGGCATGGAATGGCTACGAACACTTGGCCCCCTTTTTACTGATTCCTCGGTTCCCAAGATCTTCTTCAATTATAAGGAGAATGAGATCTCTACCACAGGTGACCCAAAAACTCTTCCAACTCACTCATCTTACCAATAACTTTGCCACCTAGTTCATACCGACTCAATTGCTTCCATCCATCTTTTACTATACAACCCCGAACCTCCACCAAACAGTCATCATACCCTTGAATCTATATAACCTTCCTTACCCAATCAAATTACATCGCTTTTACAATTTTATGAGGCAGTTTTTAGTCTACCGCGAGGCCTTCCCCCAGCAAGGCCACATGATCATCACATTCCCTTACTCCCTAACACACACCTCATTAACGTTAAACCCTACAGATACCCTCACTCACAAAAAGAAGCCATGTCAACCATCATCCATGACAGGTTACATGAGGGCATCATTACACCTAGCCACAACCCATATTCCTCCCAGTTCTTTTAGTTCGAAAGAAAGATGGCTCATGGAAATTTTGCATGGATTATAGAGCTTTAAACGTGGTAACAGTTAAAGACTGTTTTCTTATACCAACAATTGATGAACTTTTTGATGAATTGGGATCAGCAACAATTTTTTCAAAAATTGATCTACGATCTGGCTACCACCAGATCACGGTTGCGCTAGAGGACACGCACAAAACTGCTTTTAGAACGTTTGACGGGCACTACGAGTTTTTAGTCATGCCCTTTGGTCTTACTAATGCTCATAGTTCTTTTCAATCGGCAATGAATGACCTGCTTTGACCATACTTACGGCGGTTTGTTTTAGTTTTCTTTCATAATATTTTAATCTACAGTTCTTGTATATCTGACCATGTTTTTCATTTGAAATTGGTTTTAGAATTATTGTTATCTAACAAGTTCTATGCCAAATTATCAAAATGCATTTTTGCTGTTCCAACTGTGGATTATTTAGGGCATATCATTTTAAGCAATGGTATAACCCCAGATCCGGAAAAGATTCAAGCAATCATTAACTGGCCGAGGCCATGTTCTCTCACGACACTCATGGGTTTTTTAGGCCTCATCAGATTTTATCAACGATGTGTTCGTCAGTACGCTGCTCTTGCTGCTCCCCTCACTGATTTATTACGTTCCAATAAATTAGTTTGGAGTACATCTGCCGAGGCAGCTTTTACAACACTTAAACAGCAAATGACTATGACACCAGTCTTACATCTTCCGGACTTCTCTCAACTTTTTGTGCTCGAAATAGATGCTTCTGTAGTTGCAGTGGGTGTCGTTTTATCTCAACAAGGGCATCCCTTAGCCTTCTTCAGTAAAAAAAACTCTACAACCGTCTACAAGCTGCTTCCGTGTATGTCCGCGAGATGTACGACATCACCGAAGCTGTCAAAAAGTGGCGCCAGTATTTAATTGGAAGGCATTTTCACATCTACACTGATCAGAAGAGTTTAAAGAACCTATTGGTCCAAACTATTCAAACTCCTGAGCAGCAAAAATGGGCTGCTAAGCTACAAGGTTTCAACTTTGAAATTTTTTACAAACCTAGCAAATCTAACCAAGTTGTTGATGCTCTTAGCAAAACCCATATTGAAGTCGATGCACTGCTATTGTCCATTTCCTCACCCGTTCCACTCCTCGTCGATCAACTCCAACATTACTACAAAACAGACACAGAAGGTCAGCATCTC